ATTTTTATTTAGAGACAAGGTCTCTCTGAGTTGTTTAGTGTCTTGCTTTTGCTGAGGCTGGCTTTGAACTCATGATCCTTCTGCCTCAGCCTCTTGAGCCGCTGGGATTACAGGTGCCATCACGCCCAGTGCACATGACTTCTTGATCCTTCCTGGAGTCTACCTCCATTGCAGGTTCCATGGGGTGGGTGACAGATTAAATGAGACTATACATGGAAGGCCCTTAAACACATTGAACTCTAATCAATAGCAATCATCATCATCCTTGCTTTCTCCCATCATCTCCGTAGATTGATTTCATTAGGTATCCTATGTCCTTTCTTTCTGCAGCTTGATTCCCAAGTCTATTTCTCCAGCCCCAACAACTCACCACACGCCAAGAAGAAAAGACAAAGTAGAGAACAGAAAGGAGAAAGCCAGGCGGAGGGTAAGCAACAACACAAGCTACAGAGGATGAAAGGAGTTTACTCAACTAAGTCAGAAAGCTTTGGAGGGAGAAAGGGTTGTTGGGAATTATTCTCGTAGAGCTCTGATCCGCAGAACAGAAGCGCTGCCCTCAAAGTGCTTTGCCCTCTGGCTTCACACCGCGGCATCCTGACTGCCTGCGGCCCGGTCTTCTTTCTTATCCTCCACCTTCTTGCCACCTGCTAGGAGTCTCCTTTCAGCGCCTCTCCAAGGGTAGAAAAGGCACGTGAGGAGGAGAAACAGGAACACACAAGTACTAGTAGATCAAACCAGAGAAAAGAGAGGAAAAAATAAAAGAAGCAGCCGTCAAAGGGGGAGCCTTCCCCCGGAGCCCAGGAGGCCTCTCTCAGCCCCCACCACCCTGCCCTGCCTGTGGCCACGGGGACACCGTGCTGGCCAACCCCTGAGATTGGGCTTCTTCTATCCTGGGGGTGAATTTTGCTTTTCTGTGGAATATCTGTGATTCATGGCCCAGCCTTAGGGCACTAGCTCCTAGGTCAGGGAATGGGTGTGCATTCTGAGTTACTCCAAGTCTAAACCTCCCAGGCCCTCATCCCCCATCCAAGGAAAAAGCCCTCCTAAGCATAAACACATTAGTTGCCTTATTGCATTAAACTGCATTATAAAGAAATCCATTAGCTACCCCGGGCTCTGTGTCCTCCAGGGCCTCCCTTGCACACAGATATTTTATCTTTTTAATGAATAAAACATATGCAGATTGCCTAAAATTAAAAAGTGTGGTGGTGATGAATAATTCTCCGGAAGGATTCTGAAGCCTGTGTTTTGTAAGGTAAAAGCTTGAAGAGGCTGCTGCAGGGATTCCTGTCTCTGCAGCTCAGAGGTGCTCCCTCCCAGGGGCCTTCCCTCCTTCCCAGTGTCTGCCCAGCTTTCCTGCCTCCTGGCCGACCCACAGCCTTGCCCTGGGCAGCAGGTGTTCCTGAAGCTTCTGGTGTGGAAGCACTGCATTCCTCCATCCCCGGGATTCTCGTTGCTTCTTGCTCGTCTCTCGGTCCCAGAGGCCCCAGCTAAATGAGAAGCAGAGGAGACAAGCCAACTCTGAACGCTCACACCCAGATTCTGAAAGCACCCAGCTCAGAGCGACCTGCTCCACGTCAGCAGACACAGCCGCCTTCCCAGAAGTGTCAAGAGACTGCTAACATGGCTCATCCAGCCTTGCCCTTAGAGGAGCCACAAACAAGGACCGTGAAGACACAGAGAGGTGGCGTGGTGAGAAAAAATGAAGGTCAAGTTCACCCAGCCGTGTATCACTTTGGCGCCCGCAGCCAACCTCCCCGCTTGGTGAGGGGTGGGGAAAGCAGGGAAGAAGCTGTAAGGATCCCCCCACCCACGAGTTGGCAGGATAAGCAAGGCCAACGCATCATCTGCAGGGCCCAGTGCAAAATGAAAATGTGAAGGCCCTTTGTTCTTAACGGAGAGAGAAAGTTCTAACATATAAAGAGGAAGGGAGATTTCAATGTGAAATGACTAGCCTGAATCTTACCATTCTGCTTTGTATTGTGCAGTGATACTTTCAAATGCAAATTTAAGAGCATTGAACTGGTATGAAAATCCACTGGCGTCACACAATCTGTTCCTGGAGTCCTAGGGTGAAGGCTCCATCCATCTCCAGAGGTCCCCATAGTCCTAGCTTAGCCCCCTGTCCCAGTATGCCAAGGAAAGGAAGTTTACTCAGTGTGGCCACAGCAGGAAGAACAGGTACGGGGTACAGTGACCAAAGATGCGTCTTCAAGGGGCTGAAGAAACATGGAGATATTACAGAACAAGGCAAGGATTGGGGCTGGCGTGACCGAGGGGTTTTACATAACTGGCAACAGGTCATCGTGGTCATGTTGGTCATTGTCTCTAAAAGGGTTCTGTGGAGCTCTGGAAGGCCATCTTGCTTGTGGAGACAATCAGTGCCCACAGTGAGAAGACTGCTCCTGTCTGGGGAGGCAGCCGTGGCTCCACCAGTGGAGTCATTGCCCCACTCATCGTGAGGGGATCTGTTGTGTAAGGTGGCTATTGCTTGGGGGTAGTTTGAGTCCCTTGTCCTAAAGATGCTTATCCATCACACTTGTGCTTCCTGGAATCCAACTGCAGGAAAAAGTGGCTCAGAAGGAAAAAAATGTAAAGAGACAAATGGAGTCAGAGAGGAACAAAATGGGGTTGGTTAGGTCAGTGACAGGGCCTTCTTCTCTGCTCCTGCAGGCATGTTGTCAACCTTTAGATAACAGGGAGAGTCTCTAATGATGGTAGGTATTTGGGATAAGCAGGGGGCACTGCAATGCAGAATTTGCTTGTCAGGGAAAACCCGAGCACATTCCAAGAGGTTGAGGCAAGAGGGGGAACATTAAAGGCAAATGAGGACAATGACCAAGTTTTTCTGATCCTTGGCTACAGGATCCAAAACAAGGGTGGCATCGGTCCATGATTGAACCAGCAGTTGTTTGGCAAATGCTCTTATAGCAGTGTATGTGTGTGTGTGTGTGTGTGTGTGTGTGTGTTCACGCATGCAAGGTTGCAGGGGTCTTCCTGCAAGGCTGTGGTTCTGCAGTCCTTTGGGTTGGTTTTTGTTAAGAGGCAAACGTGCATGAGATCCCCTCCTCTATAACCCCCAGGGTTTATTTGCTTATTTGTGGTTTTGTAGTCATTAGGGCTTGACACAAGCAGCTCCATTTTGATTCTAACCACTTTCACAGTATGCATCTCATTCTTTCCAGACAGTGAAGATGCTGCACAAAACAGCTCACCTGTCTTTATTTCTCTTCTTGACACATGTGCTACCAACACTCTGCCTTAATTTGCTGATGAGCAGGAGGGACCGAGGGAGGAGGAACTCGGGACTGCTCTTCCTTTCCTTCCCCTCCTGTGTCATCATTTTCATTTAAGTGGTTGGTCAATGAAAGGAAGTAACACCGATGCTGAGTGCAAATGGGGCGGGAAGAAATGGCTGACTTGCCTTTAAGGCATCGCTCCTCTGCTCTTAAGTTTGCACTGCTTCACTTTATGAAAGACAAGTTCACATCAATGTTCATAGCAGCTTAATTCACAAGAGCTAACTATAGAGCCAAACTCAGTGCCCTCCAACAGATGAATGGATAAGGAAAATGTGGTATATATACACAATGGAATATCACTCAGCCATAAAGAAGAATGCATATGGCATTTGCTGGTAATTGAATGGAACTTGAGATTATCACACTAAGTGAAATAAGCCAGTCCCCCAAAACCAAAGGCCTAATGTTCTCTCTGATATTTGGATGCAAACACATAACAAGGAGGTGGGGAAGAATAGAAGTTCAGTGATTAGACAAAGGGGAATAGGAATAGGAATGACAGTGGAATGAATCGGACCTAATATCCCTATGTTCATATATGAACACACACAGTGAATCTCCACACCATGTATAACCCAAAGACCGGAACCCTAATTAGAATAGATATATTCTATGTTTGTATAAATGTCAAAATGGATTCTACTGTCATTTACAACTAAAAAGAACAAATTTAAAAAAGAAAAACATTTTTAAATAAAAATAAATGAATAAAAGACAAGTTTAAAGAGAAAATGATTAAGAATTTTGAGAAAGAGACAGCAGAGCATCAAACCAAGTCTAGGTCCTTCTGAGCATCAGAGAGAAGGGACCCTGATGCACCCGTACCTGAGGACAGCTTGGGAGAAGCCCAAACAGGGAAGACAGTAGAAAGAGTCGGACCTCACTTTCCTATGTTTATATATGAATACTCGACCAGTGGAGCTCCACATCTGTACAGCCACAAGAACAGAGAGTTGTACTCCAATACATTCTACTGTCGTGTATACCTAAAAAAGAACAATTTTTTTTTTTTAAAAAAGAGCTTTATCCTCTAGATAGTCTGTTATTTAAAGACACACCTAAAGCTTGGCCTTTAAGATTGGTAGATTTGAGTTTTGAGCATGACAATTGTCTGGTCATCGGCAGTCAAATGTTTTATTCTAATATATTCCATGCACTATGACAATTCTCCAGCAAATAGAAGTCAGCTGTCTTGAGCAAGGTGGGACTTTTCCAATTCTCATGAAGGCACTCTTTGGACCAGCGCAGCCCTGCCGGATTGGCTAATCAATCAATGCCGCAAAGCATCTCACTTCACATTCAGGGAACAGCTCCACGACCCGCAAGCCCTGACAATTAGATGTTGCTGCAAAAAATACAAATAAAAAAGTGTGTGTGTGTGTGTGTGTGTGTGTGTGTGTGACTTTTCCTTCATAAATACAGAGTCAACAGGCCTTCGGGTATCAGCTGTTGTCTGCTTTCAAACACTGAAGATCTACAGGATTATTTGGTTTGCTTCAACCTAAAATAACAACCATAAGGGCTGGCGCTCTCTCTCTCTCTCTCTCTCTCTCTCTCTCTCTCTCTCCCCCTCTCCCCTTTAATAAATAAAGAAATAAGGAAGTCTCCACTCACCAATTCTAACAACTGGACTTACAGATGGGATTCATGCCTCAAAGTGAATAAACGCCAGGGTGGCCATGCGCAGATTAATTAGGCAGGAAATAATCTCCCTGTAGCAGCACGCTCGGTATTCTTTAACAAGACTAAAAAATGATTGGTGCCACCTGTTTATGGCTCCAAGCACTTGCCTCGAGCCCTTCAAGTACTCTATTACAAACTTTTTGATTAACTTGGTCCCAGGGTCAACTTTTTGTGTGTCTGTTTCCTCGGAGTGAATAAATAGAAGTTCTACACCCTGATGCCTGGACGACCAGCTGGGGACATGGGCAGGAAGCAGTGAGGCTTAAAATACTAGGAGGAGCCTGAGCATTATTCTCAGGTCTGACGTTACCTGAGAGGCTCAAGATTTGTCTGGTTTATACAATCTCCATGGCACAGGTGTGTTGATTGAAACTTTCCCATTTATTTTAAGGACATTTTAGCTGTCAGGAGTTGGGAAGAAGGTGGCTTTGTTTTTTACAAGGCTGTGATATTTTTCACTGTTAGATGCTGAGAGCTGATTGCATGTGTGTGTATATATAGACACATCCCCAGTTTGGACCCAAGTCATAATAAATTTATGTGCTATTTACACATAGCTCTAAATCATTTCACTAAGAGAAGCATGCGGCCTAGAAGTTTAACAGCTCTTGCGGGTGCGTAAATGGTTTCCTCTGTAAGGAGGAGAAGAAATGAGCAGCTTCCACCTTAACCAGCAAACAAATGGTGGTAGCTTGCTCTTGTCCAGCACTTAGTGAAGTTGCTTGCCAGTGCATGATCTTATTTGGTCATTTTAAAATCCTTGGAAAGTAGGAAGAGCTGAGATTATTGAACTGGTTAAAATAAAAAGAAAAATGAATGCCAACTGAATAAAAATGAAAAATGGAAGTAGGTGGAGAAAAGATTCCTGTAAGTCCAACGACATATGTATCATATTTTCTCCAATATTCCAAGATCTTGGGATTCTCTACCAAGTCCCATGCCTGGAAATGGACTTGTTTCCCAACATGCATGGAACGAACAGGGGTGTTTGCCTCTTATTTCTCCTTTGACAGTCTACCAACATAAATTGATTACCGTCTGGCATTAGCCTTGTGCAGGAACAAAGGCAAAGTCCTCCCTGCCTTCAAGGAGCTTCCAGTTTATTTATTGGAGAAACTGATGCTTAGGAAAGAAACTGACCTTCTCAAGGTCATGTGGTTTGTAAGCATTTCTAAAAACCTAGACACTGGAGATTACGACATCAGATAGTCAAGTCTTCTTTCTAATCCATGCTGCCTCCTTAACCAGGAAGGCTGACCACCCATGATGGACTCATTCTGTACTCTGGATATTTTGGTCTAATAATCTAGCAAGTCTTCATTTCCTAAGTCCTGTGCACTCATTGAAAGTGTGCAACCCATTGTGGATTTGGTCCTGCACAGGACACAGCAGATGCACAACCTTTATATTCCTTGGGGGTCAAAAGGATAATCACTCACTTTATTTCCTCTTTGTTTCCGCTTCCTTCTGAAACTGAAATTCTCATTAAGGAATTCTTTGCAGATGCTGCTCCAAACAACTTTTCCCCATTGACCAGAATTAGCATAGGAGAAGAACCTCTTTGCATCAAAGTATTATTGAGCATATTGCTTCTGATTATGTTGATTCCTTCTTATATATTGATGTCTTCGTCTTTTTGTGATACTGTAATAAAACATCTGAGGCCAATTACTTTGTAAAGAAAAGATATTTGTGTAGTTCACAATTCTAAGGGTTGGAAAGCCCAAACAGCATGATACTGACATCTGGCAAGGGCCTCCTAACTGAGTCAAAATATGGTGGGTAAGTGGGCATATGCAGAAGGAGCAATTGTGGAAAAGAACAGAAGTAAAAGAGCAAGCAAGAAAGCAGAACGCACTTTAAACTAACCCATTCTCTCAATAATTAATCTAGTTCCACGAGACCCAACCCACTCCCATGAGTGGGCGTTCATCCTTTCCATGGGTGGTGCTCACCTTCCACTAGGCGCCACCTCTTAGACACCCACCAGTTCATAATGCTGTTGCCCTGGACACCAGGTTTCCATCACATTAACCATAGAAATTGTTGTCATTCCTAACCAAGTCATGCCACGTCCCACCCCCACTACTTCTCACCACCAAACCAGGATTCTACCATGAAACCTCTCAGGTATAAAACCTGCAGCTCTATCCAGATCGGCCACTCTCTCAGTAGGGCCCAGATTGAAAGCTTGCTGAGCCTGGCCCATTGGTTTGCAAATGTCTGTTAAAACATGACCGCCACCTTCTCCCATGGACTCTCCACTGCTGTAGCTGGCAACTCCGAAGGGACCAAAGGAGCATGCACCCCTCATACCTTGCGGGTTGTTGGCTGTGCATCGGCCAAACTCCTAATTTCCTTGAAGACGTTGATTTGTTTATATACTTACTTCTATAAACAAATAAACTGGAAGCTCCTTGAAGGCAGGGAGGACTTTGCCTTTGTTCCTACACAAGGCTGATGCCAGGCGTGTGCTCAATATCTGTTGATGGACTGTCAAGGAGAAAGAAGAGGCAAACACCCCTGTTCTTCTATGCGTGTTGGGAAACAAGTCCATTTCCAGCCATGAGACTCGACAGGGAACCCTAGAATCTTGGAACATTGAAGAAAATATGATACATATATAGTTGGACTTTCAGGAATATTTTATCTCTCTACTTACATTTTTCATTTTTATTCTTTTGGCAAGTATGGCCAAAGCACCTATTATACAGTGAACTGGAGTTCTCCATAAACAAAATTGGAGACATAGAATATTGGAGCCATTTAGAAGCCCAATGCACTTGACTTGAAGCTTCAAGAGCATTTGGATTTATTGTGTGGGTAGTTAATTAAAACAATCTTAAGAATTTAAATCTTAAATATAAGTTTTTTATATTTATTAAATCATATTTATTATTAGCAGACTTGGGCTAATTACTTTGTCTTCTCTCTCTCTCTCTCTCTCTCTCTCTCTCTCTCTCTCTCATTTTTAGTTGTACATGACAGTAGAATGTATTTTGACATATTATACCTACATGGAGTATAATTTATTCTAACAAGAGTCCTATTATTGAGGTTAGACATGATGCAGAGTTGCCCTTGTCATGTATTCAAATACAAGGCTAGAAGTCATGTCCAGTTCATTCTGCTGTCCTTCCTGTTCCCCTCCCCTCCTTTCCCTTCATTCCCTTTGTCTAATACAAGGCCTTCTACTCTCCCCTTCCCACTCTTCCTTGTTGTGTTAGCATCCACACATCAGAAAGAGCATTCTGCCTTTGGTTTTGGGGACTGGCTTATTTCACTTAGCATGACAGTCTCCAGTTCCATCCATTTAAGCAAATTCCATAATTTCACTCTTGTTTGCAGTTGAATAATATTCTATTGTGTATATGTACCACATTTTCTTTATCCATTCATCTGTTGAAGGACATCACTTGATTGCTTCTTTAAAAAAATCAAGAATTGGCATCAAAATTTGGGGGTAGATTCACAGGGTGCCAAAAGAATAATTAACCACTTTGCTTCATTTTGCTTCTAGTTCCTTCTGAACTGCCTGGGTTCTCACCACCAGTGTGCAGCAAAAGAAAGCAGCTTTCTGAAGTTCCCCTCTTCTCTCCCACCTTGACTCCTATGTTCCCTGAGGATAACTACCTGTAGGGTAGTTCTGTACTACCCCACACTCAAGGGGCCATTGCCTTGGAAGGGACCCAGCACTGCCCTGTCTAAAGCTCTTTTCTCGTCCATATTCTTACTTATCTCTATGCCAATGGAACAATCGGGGATGGAGCGAGTTTTCACATAAGGATTGCAGTGCAACACTCATCTATAATAGCAAAATCCAGAAACAACATAAACCTTCCTCAATAGGAAAATGGCTACTTCATTATGGAGCTTCCATAACATGGAACACTAAGCAGGCTTTCAACAAGCACATTGAACAGCACAGAGAAAGGCTCCTATTACAATGGCAAATTAAAAAATGGCAGATACAAAATGATGGAACCGTTATGCTACTGCATGCATAATTATATATGCATAGAGAAATGACTAGAAGGAAATTAATCAAAGATTAATGGCAGTTAACTCTCAGTAGTGGGATCTGTGGGGTTTTGTTTATCTCATGCATGCATTTTGCATCTTTCTAAATTTTCAAGAACAGTAACCACAGAATTTTATTATTACAAAAAAGCAGTAGGACTTCGAGACTGTGTGTGTGTGTGTCAGTCATGTTAGGAAGACAACATCTCACTGGGTCAGGGGCTGTGGAACTTTAGTGGGAGTCAGGATCACCTGGAGGGCTTCTTTTTTCATCTCTAGGTCTGGGGTGGGGCCTAAGAGTTGGCATTTCTAACAGATTCTCAGGTGATGCTGAGGCTGCCTACCCAGGACCACTCCTGAAGAACCACTGCGGTAGGTATTTCAAGCAGAAAGAGGTTTAATTTTAAGAGCAGAATTAAATGGAGCAAAACTGCTGGCGTAGCTTAAGGAAGATAACTCAGGGGAGCTGCCGCTAGCTTTCAGGTTACACTGCAAGCAGGATCACAAAGTTGCTACCAATAACCTGGGGTTGAGTTGGGGTTGTAGCTCAGTGGTAGAGCACTTGCCTCGCATGTGGGGGGCACTGGGTTCAATCTTCAGCACCACATAAAAATAAAAATAAAGGTATTGTGTCCTTCTACAACTAAAAAAATTTTTTTTCAAAAAAAATATAATAACCTGGGGTCAAGAAACTTCTGCTGGCTTCACAGCTGCCTCTTGACCCTGAATTTGTGACTAAGAGTAGAATCTAGAATCTGCTATAAAAATTCCCATCTTCTGCAGCCCCTCATACCTGCCATACCTAGAGAACAACATCTGCTTGGAAGCAAAGGAGCCTGAGCAATAGAGTTTCCAGGCTTCTAGCCCCTGAGCTGCAAGGGAGAGTAGAGATGCAACTGGGAATGAGCATTGAATGACAAGAAACAATATCCAGAGGAGAGTCAGAAGATGAGAGAGGAAGGGAAGGGAAGGGAAGGGAATTGGGGTAAGAGAGGAAACAGGGAGAAGGGAGAGAAGAGGAAGAGCAAATAACCTTGGTGTGGAATTAATCAAAAACACCACGGTAGAGTGGAATTTGGCAGTAACATGGCCACGGGTGGAGTAGGCACGGGGCACATGTGGGTGACCACATCAGACTAACAGTGCACGAGGAATTCAGTTGTGAGAGCAAAAGGGTGCCCAGGAATCAGATCCACTATCTGGTGACAGAGAGAGGGACATTAGCCCGGACCATGGCCAGACAGAAATCCTAACTTGAATTTTGTGACTGGAGCACCCAGGTTTTGTGACTCCTGCCTTATTTCTGTCTTGGGTCCCAGGTGATCCAGTTAAGTAGATAAAAAGTGTCCTTCAAACTGTGAAACTCTGCATAAATGTCAAGCACCGTCATCTTTTTCATTTGAAGGTGGCCATCTCTGAATAACTGGTGGATTGTCTGAAAGCAGAAGCAGGGCCGGCTTCTCCCCCAAAGCCACTGAGAAGCTGAGGAGAGGGAGGGAAGGGAGGACGCACTCGGCTCCCTCGGGGCCAGTCTTGCTTGGCTGCAGACCCCCCTGGAGAGCCGCGGTGCCACACTGCAGGCCCACCGGGAGTGCTTGTGCCCGGACGCTGACGGGCAGTGAAAG